TAATCACCTCGTCCGGCACGTAGCTTGGGCCACGGGTGTGGACACGTGGCGGGTGAGGTGGCGGGTCTGATACAGGCCCGTAACAAAAATGAAGCAACTAACAGCTCAACAAGAGATGGATATTATTGCAGAAGAGGAAGCGAGTAGGGTTGATTCTCCGATTGATCGCGTAAATAAAATATTTAGACGACGAGCGGAGGATTTCTCTCTTGGAACCGGGATCATTTCTGTAAGTTGTGGAGGGTTTGTCTTTCGAAATTGAAATTACGTTTTGGGGGCTGTGGCTCTTAGGACGTATTAATACGTTGTTGGATGATGAGTAATTAGTTTCGAAACATATTATTCAATTTAGTCAACTTAATCGGATAGTGGGCCTATTTTGTCAAATATTTAAACAATTATAATCTTAAAAAATTTGATTAAAAGCCAGTTTGACAATTATTATTGTAGAAAAAAGAGTTTTAAATAATGATTTTTAGGAGGACGTGTGATTAAAAAGTTGGAAAATATTTTTGGTATACGTGTAGAATATTTTATTGTGTGAATGTGTGGTTGAAAATAATCATGTTACAAACTATAAAATAAATTAGTGGGTGTCAAACGAACACCAAGCCCCTGTTTGACTCTCATTGAAATTATAATTCATTTTTCTCATTTTTCTTATCAATCACACATACTTCAATAGAATAATATTGCACGTAATTCCAAAAACATCTTTTTTAATCAATTTTTTTTTTTTAAAAACAATATTCCAACCATTACAATTTCAAATAATGAGGGCTAACTTTTTAAATTTATTTGTAGAAGTCTTTAAAAAGATTAATTGAATACGTCATTCTCAGTCATCCTCTTTTTCTTATTATTTTCTTACTTATTTTTTTGATTTTTATTATTAAATAAGATAATATGTAAAGATCTTTTTGCATTTCTTTAAATTGGTCAAATGAAGGTCCATCCCTAATTTTTTGTTCAATTTACCACTTTCTAAATGAAAAGCGACCCAGAACTCCATAATAATTTAAATGTTTGGGACCCTCAACACTTTTCTGAAAGATATTTAACTCATTGTTCAATTTACCCTTAGGATTGCCTCAATGGCCAATGCTGCCTTCAGTGGCGTACTCGGGTTCTAAACTCAGCTCGAACGGACGTTGACTAATATTTAATTATATAATATTAAAAATTATACAATATATATGTAAACGCACTAAAA